TTTAAAGAGTCACAAGGTATGTTTTTAGCCTGATAACGTGTTCTCTGGTGGTCTTCCAAAGCTTACCTTGAAGGATGCAAACAGGCAAATCCCCGTGGGAGTGAGCCCCTGCCATCCTGCCTGACCCATCTGCCGGCCCTGACATTCCAGCTTCGCTCCAGCATCTCCCATTGCCCAGAGGAGGCAAACCCACACAGCGTGCTCAGCCACGGTGCAGCCAATGCAAATGGCTGTGCAGAGTGCTTGCACCAAGTGAATTGTCAGTGGGCACAGCTGCTTAAGGGCGCTAGGTTGCTTTTCAGGCCAACCACCCACCCTATTTGCACCACTCTCAGCCTCGCTCCTGGCTGCAGGGCTGACAGGGCACCCAGACCCAGCAGGTCAACCCCAGCCAGCAGTGCAATTCTGCACAACTTTCCAGAGCATCGTGTGTGCTCAACAGTCTGCTTCCACAGCTTCTGTTGTACCTTTGCATTCATCAAATAACTTTGCAAAATTCTGAGATAAACTGCTGGAGTAATGCATTTAAAGATAAATAGACGTGTAGCAATGCTTGAAGGCAGAGCAGCTCTGCTGGTGTGCAGTCTTCATCCAGATTCTGCTACCAATGACAGCCACGGCTGTGTGTCCAGAGCCCCAGCCCTCTCACCAAGAGAAAGGACTGGAAAGAGCCTAATAAATATGCTTTACTGCCTTAAAAATGAACTTACGCTCTGCAATCATGTGTTTGATCACTGCATGTGTTTGAACCTCTCAGTTGTGGCACTGTTGGGTGAATCGACTCAACGGGAGCCGTTGTGCTGTGCAGGTCAGGACACAGAGCTGCTCTATGCTCTGCTGCCATCAATGCTGCTCTCTAAATTTGTACGTATGAAACAAAACAGCCCACCAGTGAGGAAAACAAATCTTTATTTATTTTTTCTCTAAAAGCAGAATCCAGATACATGTTTTTGGAATGGTTTAGATGGTGGCTTTAGGATGGGAGTAGTCACATCACAGAAATGACACAGAACAACCAGTGAAGGAACGAAGAGCATTTGACAATTGCTTTACCAATTGGTCCCGACACTACTCTTAACTAATGGCTTTGCCAGAACAGCCTTTAGAATTGTAGAAAACTTCACCTACTCAATACAAGCACAGGGATAATGAGAGAAAAGGAACTACTGAACGTAATTATTGCTGCCGTAGCTGTGTTTCTATTTCCTTGCACAATGTTCCATAATGTGCTGGCACAACATTTCTTAAATACCAGAATGATTAAGAGTGTCATTCACATAAATAAGAAACAACCAACCAGCCAACCTAACCTTTTAAATCAGACTTCACTGAAGAATAACAAAATAATTCATCCTACAAAAACAGAGGTTTGCCTTTAGAAGGCGTAGACTGTTACACCAGTGAAACAGTGAGGATGAATGTGCTGAGATGCCAAGGAATAGATTTGGTTTCTGCATGCTTCCAGCTCCTCATGTGGCTATTAGATCCGAGAGGGGAAGAGAACTATTGCTGTCATTTCCCCTTTAGAGGTGCAAGGACAGACAGAGTAACAATCAGTTCAAGCGTAAGTTACACCAAACCTTTAAGACCTGGAAATGGGAGGTGGAGAATGATTTACAGCATGTTCCCAACTATGAACAACTCAACGTATCAACAATGCCTTTATCGACAGCTCCCATGTATCTCACTGCCTTGTACCAAAGCAAACCCCATCACACACAGACACCAGTACGATCCACGCATGTAGAGACACTGCGCGTGGGGTCCTGATGAAGCCTTAAGGTAGCCGTGGCTATGGGCAGTGCGCTGTGGGACGCCGCACACAGAATCTGAACGTCCCTCCCGCTCCCCACCACGAGGCCAGCTGGAACAACCACCTCACACTGACGATTTTCACACTGGTTACACGGTGAGTCTAAACGGTGTGCACATATGTACTGAAGTTCAAAGAAAATTCTTAAATCCTACCCCCTTGATAATTTACAGAGCGTATAAAAGGCATGACTTGACGCTTATAAAACCTCAGCCCTTTTGTAAAAACAAACAAACAATAAAAAACAACAAAACAAGGCCACAGGATTTCGTTTTAAGCTTTAATCTGTTGTTATCTTCATTTCAGCAGCTTAAGGTCCTACACTAAATCACAGATACACTCCTCCGTGGCCTTTAAAGCAAGAAATAAATTAGCAAGAGTCACACTGTAAATCAAAATAAATAATTTCTACATTACTTTTTATTAAAAAAACGGTCTTTTTAATTGCACAGTATTTTAAATTTTCAGTAGCAATGCAAAGTCAGTTGGGTATTTTCTAAATGCTCCAGACAGCAGGAAAGCATCGTACCACGCTGCAGCCAGCAGCACCAGCCCGGCCCCGTCGCACACCCCTCGCCCTGCCGCGGCGCCCGGGCCATGTAAGGTGCTCTGTGTGCACACACAGGTCTGGTACTTTATGGCAGCTCCCATTCGCTGCCACTTTCCCAGCAGAAGATGGGACGATTCAACAAGAGTCCAAAGGCCGCGGGTGTCACCAGGCTCTCCTTTCTGGGGTGCTGCATGCACGCAGCACGCTGCCGGCTCTCCCCACAGCAGTTTGCAGCAGAGGACCGAGTTATAGTTCAGACATAGCAGAGAAAACACGGCTCCTGCAGGGACGTGGTCTTACGTCCAGCCATTAGCAGCAGTTGGCAAGCAAGGGCAAGGTATTGAAAAAAGAAACATTTAAAGGCGTTTGTAGAAAGACATCGTAGCGATTAATACCATCACATCCCGGGCAGCCCGAGCTCAAAGTCAGGTGCCCACAGGATGCATTTAAGAACTCTAAATACTGACAACAGCCCTTGTATAGAGAACAGCGGAGCGGACGCCTGACGTCAACGTGCACCCAAACACGGTGCATCTGCACACTGTGACAAGAGAACTGCTCTCATGGCTCAGGTCCTGCTTGCACACAGCTCTCGATGCCGAGGGAAGGGAAGTGGTGGGATGGGGCTAACCTGAAGGTTCTCCTCTGTAACTGCAGCGCTTGCAGTGAAGACAATATTGACAAGATACCCCTTACCATTTAAGCCCAGCTGTTTGCATCAGTGCAATTCCGTAGCCAGCAGTACCACCTGCCCAGTACCACTCCTCCCCACATACTGCTGGTACTGCTCCCTGTACAGATCGGTCTGCCCCTCCTCCTCCAATACTCACAACTACAACAAAGGAAGAACCAAGCCCTACCGTTTGTCCCCCCCTCATTTTGTTCACCCAACATAAGAGCGTCTAAAGGGAACCAGCACCTCATTGCACAACATCAATAATCACCAAGTAACTCCTGTTCTTACACTTTCAAAGTGTTTTTAGTGCTTCGGCACCAAGCACAGAACGTACAATGGGAATTTTCTACCAACCAACACACTCGCAGGGGTTCAGTGCTGCATTAACATCTGTGGAGGCACCACAGCGTGTCTCCTGTTGGCTTCAGCAGTACGATGTGAAGCCTGGCGGCCAGAGGGCCCTGGGCACACGGCACAGGGTGTTCTGATGTTCATGGGACAGGGGAGATGAAACGCTTCTACTACAAACACACATTGCTGTTCGCGTTCAAGGAATTCAGCTTTTGGCAGAAGCGAATCCCTACATAATAAATAAACGTAGAAACTCATAAAAACACAGGTATAATAGCTGCATTGTTAAAACAGCTGCATCTACACTATGGTGTAGTACTGACGTGTCATTCCATTCAAATCTTAGGCGTACAACCCAGGTGAGACCCACCGACCTCTGCAAACCTCAGCATCAGCACTACGTCAGCCCCTGCGCTCCAGCAACGCCTGCAGACAGCCACCAACCAAAGCGAGGGGAAGGCTGCAGCCGGACAGACGGCTCCTGCGCCGCCCCACGGACAGGCAAACAAACGCAGGTCCCACACCAAATCAGCAGAAAGAGCCGTCTGGAGCACTACTTCCTGAAATAGTTTGCTGAACACGGTTCAGATTATTGGATATGTCTATAAGCACAATGCTCTTCAGAAGCATTTACTGTATACCCAAATCCTACTCACTGCCACACACGGTGTCGCACGAGTAGTGAAAATGTCTTCGTATTCAAAGGTGCTTGGACATCATTTTCAGGCAGCATTTTACCTTTATTTTAGTGAGTTCACACTATGAAGATTTTAGGAGGAAGAAGATGCCAATAGTTTCTTTAGTTTCTTTTCTTTCTTTTTTTTTTTTTAAATATGTGAAACTGAGACAGACACCTCAACAAATAACTATTTTTACTCGCCTAAATCTATCCTACATCTGAAATCTCTATTTTTTCAATAAGAGATAAAATGTTGCCCAAAAGCCTGTAGCCATACGTTTGTGTTTCTACTAAATCTACAAATCAAAATAGTTCTCAGTTAAAAAGATACAATTTGTATCAACAGTAAAAGGTACTTTCTGGTTCTTCAGGGCCTTTACATTCCAGCAAGTGTACCAAAATGATCAGCAGTAATTGTGTAAACCAGTGGTTTGTTAACACTGAAAAAACGTTACAATGGATGGAAACCTAAAACTGTAGGCAACTGACTATGTCATGTAAGTACAACCGACATCAATTGCAAAATCTATTTCTATTTTATATATATAGATGTATATATATATAAAAGCTTAGAGGTGCTAGTAAAACCCATGACTTAAAACCAGAAATATCCCTTACTAGTACTAGAGCAGACTCACTCGGTCTGCTGCTAAGACTACGCTACCTGTGGCAAGCATTGGCCCCGCGACGCAGCAGGCCAGGAACTGATGCCAGGAACACACACAGCCCCTTCTTCCCCAGCCCTCCCTCCCATCTGCAACACAAAGACAAAAAGTTTCACTTGTTCTTTTGAGCTACAATATCGTCACCATAGTGCAGTTAATAAATGTTGCATATCCTCAACACACAAACCCTTCCAGGCCAGCCTTGATAAATAACAAGTAAAATCAAACAGTGTCTTAAATACAAAACTTGCATTGAGATAATTAAATTCATTTAAAAACGGGTAAATATTTTATGAAAAGCGTATTTTATCCGGTACACTTGTGCAGCAATACAAAGAAAGACACAGGAAACATCTAAACAGAACCCTAGCAAGTCAGGCCCCTTTCTACTGACCAGGAACAGCACGTGGGGATGGGAGCAAGGCGGCCTGTTTCTTGGAGGTACCGAGTGTTGGCAGTCTCTGCTGGGCTCAAAGGGGGCTGCAAATTCTCAGCACCTTTGAAAACCAAGCAATAAGGCTTTCACCTTAGCCATAAATTAGTAAAAAAACAAAAAAAAAAAAAAAAAGAAAAAATAAAAAGTATTTTTCCTCTGATTGCATTTGATCTTACCAATCAACTGCATCAACGAACATGTAACTATTTAAACAAAACAAAGGAAGCAGTGAAAAGTGCCATGCTATAAATTACTAATATAAGGTTACCCATCTCACCGTTCGTGGTAACTCAATTATCTGTTTAAAAAATAAAGTCAGTGCTGTAGTAAATCTTTGTTTCCTATAAATAGATTATAGCACACACACAAAAAAGCCCACAAACAAACAAACACGGTGTTGTAAAAAGTTCAAAAACTTGGCTTGAAAATTGTCTGCTGGACGTAGCAAAACCCTCTCTCTGCAGGTTGTTTTAACACCGTGCAGGACGAACACCCAGCAAGTTAAAAAACAAATCCCAAAATCGCAACAACATGTAACAAGGATAGAAAGTGCTGCATATAAACCCCTGATGCACCAAAGATTATAACCAGAGACCACAGATTTTTGTATATATATCTCTCTATATATTAATTTAAACTGGAGCTTTCTCCAGACATGAAAATAGCCTTTAAAAAATTTTCAAACTAGAACACAAAACATATCAGGTACTCTGATGCATGGGGCTCTACATACAGACTCCGTATTACAGTATTTCACATAAATGGATTACTATATAACCTCCTTGCTGAGAAGGAGATCCCAAATGCTATTGTAGCAAACCTCCCTCAGCGTTAGAGCTGAGCTGAAAACTACTGGACACCACAAAGATGCATCATCTCAATAACCTAGCTGAGATTTCTCCACTAAGATGGCTGCGGCGAGCTGCTGAGCGTCTGTCACGTGAGGGTTCTTCTTCATGACAATCCTCACGAGGTCGGGGGGGAAGATGTTGCACAGGTTGATGTACACCTTCTCCCTGGTGTCTTGGTGCCTCGGGGGGTCTTGAGGGATTCCACAGTACGGTACACGCCACGTCGGGTCCTGCTGCTCCGGTAAGCTTTGGAAGGCAAACTGCTCGTAACACGGCTGTGTGGGGTTACTGGGCAGAGAGTAGGTCTGACGGTAGCCGTAGGCATCCATCCCATAGCCCTGCCTGTCCCAGCTTCCCAGCCCATCTTGGCCAGCAAAAGGCTTTCTGTGTCTCAACGGAGAATTATCGTACAAACGTGAGTCTGAAATGCTATCTATCCTCGTGGACACAAGGGCTCTCCCCATGTGCACGGTCTTTGAGTGCGACGAACTCTGAGATGCAGAGTAGTCATTTGGACAACTAGAACGAGCACCGATGGTTGGATGCTGGAAATGCACAGCCATATACGGAATTGGAGGTTTGTGGTGATGCTTTGGTTCTTCGTGACTGTAACTTTGCACTCGTGTTAGAGGCTCGTGGTAGCTCTGTAGGAATGGCTGAGAGTTAAGGCGGCCATGCGGGTGCATATGTTGGCACTTCAAGTTCTCCTCCAGCTGCGGGTCAGGAGAGCTCATGTACGAGCGATCGCTGTAACCCACATAGGAATCGCTGCTGCCACAGCTGACGCTCCCTTCACTACTGCAGTCAGAAGCTACAGAGCTAATCCTGTAATCTGTGTCCAAGGAGAAGCGCCTTTCAGGACTGCGTGGACCAGATATACTCAGACTTGAATATGCATTCAGCATAGAGTAATACCCTACATCCACCGGAGACTCGCATTTTGGATACTGGTCGTAAGGCATTGGTGTTCCGTGATTTTTGGTTGCCATCATCACTGTAGGATACTGTCCCTGTGGTCTTTGATCCTGAGGTGGAAAATGAACTCCAGATGGAAGGCCGTTGGTTAAAGGTGCAGTACTTTGGGGTTTTGCAGCAGAGGAGCTTGGTATGCTAACTAACGAAGGTACAGACCTGGTTTCTAATTTGTTTTTGGTGGGAAGCTTTTCCTCCAAGTCTTGATAGACTTGAGTCCTTATACTAGGATCCGATTGCCTCTTCGGAGTGGCACGCTTAAGCTCAGAAGTGCCATCATTCTTAGTGCTACAGGGAACACTATTGCTTTTTACCAGTCCTCCTTCACTTGTAGTTTTGGCAGCTGTACTTCTAGACATGGCACGAAGTTCGTCAGCTACAGATCGCTGAGGCTGATTTCCCCTTTCTGGGTGATAGTATTTGCATTTGTGTCCATAGGTACATTTCTTCCCTGTCAAGACAAAGATAATGAGATTTAAAAAAAAAACATCAGCAAGAAGAAAACAAGAAACAAAAGATCTTAATCATGAAACAATGGAAATCCTTCTCATTTAAAGTTTTACTCACAACTTGAAAGACGGATCAGAGGGCACCTTTCCTATGAAGACGTGTTGAGAGAGTTGGAGCTATTCAGCCTGGAGAAGACTCCTTACAGCAGGCATCCAGCACCTAAAGGGGCCTACAAGAAGTCTGGGGAAGGACTTTCTACAAGGACATGCAGTGACAGGACAAGGGATAACAGCTTTAAATTGAAAGAGGATAAATTTTGTTTAGATGTTAGGGAGACATGCTTCACTGTGCGAGCAGTGAGGCACTAGAGCAGGTTGCCCAGAGAAGCTGTGTATGCTCTATCCCCAGTGTTCAAGGCCAGGCTGGACAGGGCTTTCACTAATGCACAGTGGGAGGTGTTCCCACCTACAGCAGGGGGCTGGAACCAAATGATCTTTAAGGTCCCTTCCAACCCAAACCATTCTCTGGTTCTATGATTCTATGAAGATCTTGCAAATGGTATTGTGTGATGCAGAGTGAGAGTTAAGATCTCCTTTCATGTACTGTGGGTAAAAGAGGCAGTAGTAGTGCTCTGCAGCAACTGCTTCAGAACACAGACCAACACTACCAGACACACTTTGAGCTGAACACATCATCAGTGCGTATGCAGGCACTTGGTGTACTGTGCTAAGAAGAAGAAGAAGTGGGAAACTTAATGTGAATGTTATGGAGCCATAAAAGCAGTAGACATTCAGCTCAGTTAAGATGGCCAGCAGCTAAACTTGAGGAAGCTCAATCCATTATCTGGCCAAAAGTCCATTACAAAGTAGCTTTCCAGGTGTTGTTTTAGATCTCTTTCTACCAAAGACTGATGAAGTTGCTCCTTTAGTTCAGCTGGTAGATAGAAATGTTCTTTAACCATCACATTAAAAAAATCCCTTCAGCCTGCAATAACTCCAGTGCTCATCATTTTAAACATTCTCAGGCTAAGACGATAATGTAAAAACCTCCATCTAAAAGTTTTAATTCTGGCAGCATTAGAATAAAGCAGGGGCTGAGTCACCAGTTCCAGCAGTACAGAAAGCTGATGAGCAGGAAATCAAATTACCATATGGACACGGCTGCTTCTTGTGTTCTGGCACAATAGGCTTCTTCCTAAGAAAATTATCCAGACTTGGGCCATGGCGGCCAAGAGGATCATCAGGAGGCATAAATCTATAAAGCAACAAAAAAAAGTATTACAGAAGCAAATGCCTTTTCACATTCCTCCTGCAATAAACAAGAACCTCCTGGCGCTATAGCCTGCCATGCTAACATCTTTATGTTTGGGTACCCTGAGAGCTGTTTTCTTGAAAACAGCTGCAGCTTTTGATGTCACTGTACCACAGCTGCACAAGATTGACTTTCTGCTGCAGCACTGCCTATGCCACAACAAAAAGCCACCAGTAGTAAGTGGGTCCATCCCAACCTGGGCTGCTCTATGACTTCATGGTTTTGGAGCCACAGGTTCTCAAAACTGCTGGCTCAGTACACCAAGAGAATTTCAGCGTGACACTGTAGCACACGTAAAATACAGAATACACATTGGTATACACTAGAAGAGGCAAACAATTTTACAGTGAAAAGATATAAAAATATTACTACGAAAAAGCAAAGAAGCAGAGTTCAAGTACTTTCACTCACAACACCAAAAACATGACTAACTATTCCTTTTGTTTTCTTACATGTACTTAATGATTTTGGTGGAAGATAACAAATTCATACAAATCTTCAAACTGCCCTTTCCTCAGTTATGTAGTGGCACATATAAGGATAAAATGACTTACTTGTCATTAACAAACGAATACATTAGCAAGCGTTCATCTATGAACTTCTTCCACTCAGGCTTTTCATTTGCTAGATCCCTGTAGTTATCATTAGAAACAATGATGCCATCTGACTCAAAGGCCAGCTTCACTATAAATCGGTCATCGTAGCACACCACCCTTCTCCCTTGCACTCGGCGGGATGGTGTGAATACAAGAATCTTCTCTTTCTCCAATTTACGCAAGATTTCTTGATCTACAAAGAAAAAGAATCAAAAGTTGAAGAAGAAATAAAATGAAAATGTATTTGTTTGATCTCCAAAGACATTAGATTTTAGGAAGCATTTATAACCATGTCTTAAAAGGTTATATTCCAGCAGAAGGTGTCTGATGTGTGATACTCAAAGCTAGAGTCAGCAGCCAACTGACAATACTCAAAAGAATACAAACACAACAAAACCCACAACAAATCGAAACACGGAGTGACTACTAACAGTACCACAAGGATCAGAAAACCTGCATTCTTTACAAACCTCAGGCTCTACCTAAATTTAAAACACCTCCTAAGAAGGCTTAAGATGTCATTTTGCTACCAAAATACATTCTGAGGAGCTCTGAAAGATGAGCTCAGGCTACCAAAGAGGGTAACCTGGACTAAGACTCCGGCCATAGCACCACAGTGCTAAGCGCTGGGGCATCCCCACCTTGGGTCACTTCTACTGGCTATCGCTCTGCTCACAGCAGACGAGCTACGGAAGAAAAATGCTATGAAAGAAAAATTGACAGAAAGCCAGGCAACTCCTGAAACTGCAGAAGACACACACTGTATATGAGTCATGGCCCTTAATGATTCAGATCTCAAATCACTATTGTGCAGTGAAAGAAACCTGACAGAGAAAATGTTCCATACAGAAAAAAAAAGGTCTCCAACAGGAAGAAATACAGCATAAATATTACAAATAAGCAATATATTTCAGGCCAACATTATCTGCTCACTAGAAAAGCCACAAGATTAAAATGATGTCCAGCCTTTCTGCAGTCATTTTTCCCCCCATGCAGCAAATGATATGTAAGAGTCTGAAGGATGGCCATTTCTTTCCCCATTAAGAAAGAACAAAATATCTGTCATGTCTAGATAAATGGCAGGTAGTAATAAGAAAAATGCAGCTGTTGTTTGGTCCAAGAAGTTCCTCACAAATATGGACAGCACAGAGCCATTCCCACATCAGTCATTTCAGACCTTGACAAAATTGCAGGTGGTCACATGTTTCAGTATCTCTGGAAATGGAGTGTCAGCACAATGTGCTTCTGCAGGCTGGCGACAAGCAGGCACCCTGCATCCTGCTAAGAAAGCTGAAGAACTCCTGCTTCACAGCACAGACAAAGAAGAATACATGATTCTATGATTCTTCTTCGATTTGCCTCCCATTTACCAGATCCCTGACAAGGCACAGCAAATTCATCTTCCATTGGTAGAAAAATAGTCGAAATTAGAATTTCTGCTTTCTCAAAACTCCTTTTTGGGATTCTAGTCCTAGCCACAGCTCTAGCAAGTGCTATATTTCAACTCTAAGTAGTCAAGTCCTTATTACTCAGCCAATGCTCTTCTCATACCTCAAACAGTAACATAATGAAATGACTTGAACAAGACCAGCTCAAGCCTTGAGACACGTTAATACATCTTCTTTCTCAGGTTATGGTTTTCTTTATTTCCTTTGCAATAGGCTATATCAAATGTTTACCAATGTATACGTTCTCTTTCAAGGGAAAGATCCCACACCACCTCTGATGAGGGCTAACAATACCTTTGCAAATCCATTTTTTGCCTTAACATGATATGTTCTAGTAGCCAGCAAGCAAATTAAATGAAACACTGGAAAGATCTTTCTAGAAATTCAGAAATGCATGTGGAAATCAAAACATGCTTCCATATTCTTTTAGCAGCCATCACTACTATTCTCATAAGCTTCCCTTCCATTAAAGGCAGCTTTAAAGGCATGTTTAAAAAGCTAAAAAATAATAATGATAATAATAATAAAAATCTGATTCTCCTCTGTTTCAACTTCTCAGCAGCAGGAAGACAACCCTCCAGCCTTCATAGGGAATCAAGAAGCTGGATAAAGAAACAACTGCATCTACATCAAACTGTTTGGAGAGTAAACACATTCAAAGTGAAAAAAATAAATAAATCAGCAGCCTTCTCACTCGTTAACAGTAATGTTCCAAATGGAACTGCTCCACGCTGCCGGGATCATTCCCTTTGCTCCCAGCACAGGGCAGTGACTCACTGCAGGTGACTGCAGACAGGGCAGGCTGGCAGACTCTGCTCACCACAAGAAAGATCATTCCGTGAATCACAGCTTTCAAACCTCTTTGCTGCCAAGGCTACACGGGCGTAACAGATTTAAAAATGGCAATTACGTCCCTGAAGACATCAGGAGCAGCATTAAAGAAAAATTTAGAAGGCGAGCAGAGAAAGAAGATGTGGAGAGGGCACTACTTTGTCCTTTTCTTTTCTTTCCTGAAGACTGTAATGAAGTTGGTGCACCAAAGATACCTTCTATTGCAGTCTTACATTTCTAACAATTTGCCCAGTAGCCACTCACATTGAACAAAGCACCCCACCAGCCAGTGAAGGCAGAGCAGAGCTTACCTGTGATAAGGGCATCAGGCCTTGACTGTTCTTTCCTCCACGCTGGCACGAACACGGTGACATCCTTGTGGCCTCTTTCCAAAAACCAATCTACTGCCAATTTGATCCCTCGACAAGAAAAGACTTCTTTGTTCCCATGGCTGAAACACACATTAAATTTCCTTATTATATGACTTTGCTTTTCTCTGAGCGCACACGGAACACAGTGAAGCACACATCTCCCACCCAATGTCATGTTATCCACGTGCTCCAGAGTTTCTAAAGGCAAGCAGGAGTCAGTCTGAGCTTTGACCAAACACTGCCATCAATTGTATGGCATGGGAGAGGGATTGTGAATCTGCAGAGTACTGTCAGCATCTCCTTGCAGACTGGAGAATAAGGAAAAACATAAGCAGAGTGTTAAAAATCCTCACAGCCCAACCAAAAATCTGGTATATAACAGCCGTAAAGGAGATTTGATATGGGACAGCAGAAATGCTGACATGAAAAAGTGCAAATTTCTTAGGAAATACTGGCAACAAATAGTGAGCCCTGAGGGCATGGTGGCAGAGCCCAGCAGGAGCTTCCCTCAAGCTCAGACAGAGGAGAAGGATTCCAACACCAGGCACTCTACAGACAGCTCAGGCAAACTGGAAACACTCTCTTAAAGCAACAAGAGAAAACTAAGAATTTGCTTAGTACTGCACTCAGGAAGGTGAAATTAGTTGTGTATTAAAAAACCATGGAGAGGCGCAAGTTCAGCAGAATATGATCAGACACAAGCAAAACAAAAGAAGTGCACCCATTGTGCAATAACTGTCTGAGGTAAAGTGAGAGATGCAATTATTTCATTTTCTGAAGGTAGGTGACGCCTCGTCTGACTTCCACATCCAATTTCAGGCACCACAGAACATGAAATACACAGGAAAACTGGAAAAAATCCAAAGGAAAGCAAAACGAGACCTATGGGGAAATGCTGGAAAAAGCACATTCAGTTAATTTAGGATAAACAAGCCTATGGAGGAACAAAACTGTCTTCAGCACATCGCATGTAATTAAAACAGAGCATGTCTATCAGCCATTGGGCCCCCGTGGTCCTGGGGAGGCTGCAGAGGTGGCCTCTGGGAGGACGGGCTGAGGCTGTCCCATGCTGCACACAGCTGGTTCCAGCCTTTTTTGCCTGCAATTCTACTTGGTAAGCAATTTCCCTGTCCTTATTTTGAGTTTTCTTGCTCTCGTTCCTCCTGTTTTTCCCCAGTCCTGCTGTGGGGTGGTGGTGAGCAAACAGCTGGGTGGGTGCTTGGCTCCCAGCCCTGGTCAGCCCACGGCAGTCCCACTGAGCAGTGATGGCAAAGTCAGCACTAAATGCATGAGAAACAGTTAAGCAATATGCTAGAAAAGGCTTTCTAACTGACTAATGGGACAATCTGCCTAGAAATCATTTGGAATCTCCTCAGTGGACATTTGTAAGTACAAGTCAGATGGCTCTGGTCCAGGTTTTGTCCCCATGCACAAGAGGAGATCAGCAATTTCCACGAGGTCCCTCCCAAGCCCACAGCTCTGCACAGCAGAAGGGATACACAGGATGACAGCCAGCTGCTAATAGCAAAAGGGACAAACAGGGTGACAGCAAGCCACTAGCTTTTGCCTCACTGGCTCGCCATGTCCTGTATGAACACCTCCTCATCTGGCTTTTGAAAGGTAAGAGAATTCAACCACCAAGGAGTGATTTGTGAAAGATATGAACAGAGCTAGTCACCTAAAAGATCTTCCAGTAGTAAAGTTTATAGGGAAATACAAACCCTAGAAAAATATTTTAAAACTTGTGCTTCTCTTTGTTTGGCAGAACCATTCTGAAGTACCTGCTGCTTCCACCTCTCTAACATGCTGCACTGCTCATGTTTCTTGACAGTCTGAGGGAGCCTGAATAATGCTGCAATGGATGAGACAGCCCTGTAGTAGTGAGAAAAAAATAGAAGCTGTTTAGATTTGAAATGCCTGCAGAGGGTGTGGCGTGCACCTCTAGGGGCACACAAGGCCAGGCTGGATGGGGCCCTGGGCAACCTGATCTGGTGGGTGGCAGCCCAGCCCACAGCTGGGGGTTGGAAGTGGATGAGCTTTAAGGACCATCTACCCAAGCCATGCTGTGATTCCACTGCTCTTATGAGTCTACGAGTTGAAAGACAAGGACTTGTGGCTGACACATCTCACAGAGCACTGTCCTCAGCAGAGGCTGTGTTGGATGTCACAGACTGCACAAAATACCAAAAAAAAAAAAGAAAAAAAAAGAGAAAAACGAAACCAAAAGACCACTACCAGAATGTGGGTTTAACCAAGAAATTGCATTATTTCCATTATTTCCTTTTCCAGCAGTTCCAGAGACAGGACCTGGAAAGGTGAGCTCTGTACTAAGACACTGCAGTTGCTGCAGACTGTCAGTCCATGGGTTTTAGCTGGCACAGGGACAGTTACTTCTGCTGGGTGACGTGAGGTTTCCCCTCTGCACGCCTCAGCCTCGCAGATGTGAGGCCTCCCCTGCAGAGCTGATACAAGAAGTTACTGCTCACGCTATCAGCAGGCCATGTACAACCGTACACACACTGCAATCCATTTTAAAACAGTTGGGAAGGGTTTGTTCCAGCTTCTAAATTCCAGTGAAATCATTGTACTGTTATTACTCTAAACAATCTCTCTGGTTTCCAATGGATAAGACCACACTTCACTCCTTACAGAGAACAAGTGTTTTGTAAGAGTTCGTTTTAGTAACAGTATGAACAGTACATTTTTTCCCATAAATGTGAGAAATTGTTTCTGGAATGAGATGCTGGCCTGAAAGAGATGAGAATTCTTTCCGGTTGCTTTCCATCCAGTTGGAATTCAAGCCACACTGCTCAAGGCACAGCAAGGGAAAGGCAGCTCAGCTTAACACAAAACATGAAAATCTTGCCACTCAGAACATCAATCTGGAATGTACTTAAACTCTCATGAAGTATGTTACAATGCATACAAACTTTCAGGCACTGCTGAGTGAGATTTAAAGTTCACATAAATCTTCACACTATTTCTGCCACTTTTCTGATCCGTGCCCATGCTAACATTGGAACTGATACAAAGTCCAATTTAAATTATTAGTGAGAAACTCTGAAAAACACCTGGTTAAAATTTGTGCTTTTGGTTTTGTGGTGATGCAAATTTGATGCTCTCCTTTTCTGATCATTGTGCTTCATCAGCTTTATGATACATCATATGATGAAAGGACTGAAATCACCCTTCTTCCCCTGCCTTCCTTCCTTCTGGTAAAGAACAGGAGAAATATTTGTACTTCTCTTTTTTTTTCAATCTCTTCTCAAATATGACAAGAATATGGAGGCTCGGGGCAGGCAGGATGACAGTGGTAGCGAAATCATTGTGTTCTGCATTGGTTCTGCCTGCTGACCGATTGCATGTAAACCACTGCTTTAACTTAAAGGAACACAGAAATATTTCTTAAGCACCTACTACTATTTCATACCCTTCATGAGTGATTTTTTTGTTATATTTGGTCTCTTGATAGATGTAGCTTCACTTTTAAAAGGATAAAAAGTAACAGTACAACCCTGAATGCTTCCTGAACAAAAACAGTCAAGCATTTTCTAGGCTAGCAGTCAGTAGAACAGTGGTAAGATATCTGATCAAATCATTTTTATCTTCCCCATTTCCTTATTTGTCCCCACATTTGATTTTCAAGTGGCTAAATAGTTGAAAAGAGCGAAGTATGCTCCTAAAACATTGATTGCTAACAACAGTTGCAAGACTTCTGGTGTGTTCTCATACAATATTCAAACCAATATTTGGCTCTCAGATTGAAAGCTGCAGGATACGCACACACTAATGACATCAGAGCTGAAGGCAACGCTGAGGAGTGTTGCATTTCATCCACAGGCTTTTATCTAAGTGAAACCTGGACAAGAGATACTTTGCAGGAAAAAGCACATTGACTAAAAACAGGAACAACAAAATGTAGATCAGTCCAGCAAACTCAGAGGACTACCAAACTACTTTCTTCCATCAGGTAACAACAGGAAAGCAGTCCACAACAGGGAGATGAGCATTTCCACCCTGGCTCAGTGCCTTGTTAGGCTGGCAGACTGGTTTTGTATCTAATCTCAACCCTTTTCTAAAAAAAACCTCTTCGAATTTCCACCAGATTCCTGCCCACAGTAATTTGTCCCAAAGCACTTCTCAGCAACCCAAATCTTCTATCCGTTCTGCATTTGCTCCTTATTTGTACAATGTGGTGCAGGTGTGATGTGGATAGAACAGTTTCCAAATGTGTTTTTCTTTCCATTAGACCATGACAAATGACCCCCATGCTTTGAGGTCTTTGAAGGAGCTCTGGAGGCTGTAACACCACACAAAATGCCACTACAGGGGTATGAAGTGCTGCCACCAGCCCAACACGCAGGTGTCTGACCGAACCAGAGTCACGCACGCTGCAGCCAGACTTCCAAACGGGCAAAGAGAAGTTGCACTCAGAGCTGCCAGTAACAAGCTGCCAGCCACATGATCATTACTTGTTGGAAAAATATTTTTATCTATTGCTTGGAGCGGTTTCTCAAAATAATCTCAGAAACAAGGCAGACTATGGAGAAAAAACACTGCTTTAGGCTACCGGTGAGATGGATGCCTGAATCCATCCACGTTCTTGTGCCTACTGAGCTCAGTTTGAGAAGAGGCTAAGCTGTTAGTGCAATTATTTTAATAAGTCTGCAGTTTAATTGCTAGATGGAAACTACATCTGGCATAAAAGAGACAACTCAAATAGTCCTTTGGTTGACAGTGCGTAGAGTCATTTCCAGCTGCGGAAAAACTAAGTAGACTGGTATCAGCAAAACTTTTACCATGGTCAAATGACCTGCATCATGACTAATACACATGGACAAGGCTCAGATTCCTAAACGGAGATGCCTAATGCTTGATAGCTGCCTTTGGGTATCTCACAGATCCTTTTGAACAACACCAGCGCTGTCACAGTTGCCAGACACGGATGTGCATTTCTGCCCCTGCTGAGCACCCAAACCATCCAGTTGGATAGATGGCTGGGAGTGAAAGCTGTGAGAAAACTGCAAAATGCCTCTGACAGAATCACAGAATCATTTGATTTGCAAGGGACCCTTAAATG